GATTGCCTGGAGCCCTATCTGGAGCCCTACTGTGTTTTTGCTTAGTTCCAGCTACTAGCCCTCATGGGGTCTACAACTGATCCTCAATTGATGCCTCGTGGCAATAACCTGGAGGCAAAATGAATAAGCCAGCAGTGCTACAATAATTTAAATGTTATTAAGAGGAGAAAAAGGAGGATAAAATATAAGAAATAAAAAGGAAAAGATGGGCATCTAAAGAAGAGAGAGAAGGTGGGCAAATACTGTATATCTATTAATAAATTAATAAGGGGCCTCATTTGGTATAATAGAATTAAAAATGAAACTTTAAAAGATGACTGAAGTCTCCTTTACAAAAACTCTTTGAATTAAAGCACATGGAGAATATGTGATATGGAGAATTTTGGAAATACTGGGACAGTCTTCTTGCAAAAGTAGCCCTATAGAGATTTGTCAATTTCATGCATGTCTTAAAGAAGGGTGGATAACTGCCAGTGGTCTGGGACTACAGTGTTGTCTACTGCATACTCTTCTTACTGCAGATGCACCACAAAAGCAGCCCTTTTTTTTACATCTAAGGACTCGACTATGCTACAATTTATTCCAGTAATTCCCATGGCCACTTTTGAGTTTTTCCCCACCAACTACGGGATGCCAAACTAAACGCAGGTAAACCCAGTCATTTTTCACGGTCATTCAGTTTATTTTGCTTTGCTGGCAAGGGGTTCCAATTTTTTGTTGTGATTCCCACCACATTGCTTCGTTTTGTTTTTTGGCATACATCTATAATTGCCTATATTAGTCTGAAGGGGCAGTGGTGGATGTGTCCTAGGTGGGTTTGATGGCAACCTTTTCAGTGGGGTGTGTGTAAGCCTGATCATTCTCTTCCAGTAAGCATCTCCCCTCTTTTCATGGAAGGTTGTTTAAAAAAAATTCAAAAGGATCTTGATTCAGAGCAGTGCTGTTATCAGACATCGCAATTTTCACAGAAAAGGACGAGCTAATCATGACGGGAAGGGGTGAGGAAGAGAACAATAACTTTTCCAATCTCTGATCTGTTCTTCCATTTATCAATGGAAGAGAAGGAGGATGAGATTCTTTGATGGGTGGCTCCTCTCTGTCACTCTGTCTGCTGGGGGAACCCAGTCTCCTCTCCCATAAGTCACCAGATCCTTGGAGGAAGAGAGATAGCATCTTGGAAGGTTTAGAGAGATATCATTCTGGGAGGAGGAGGAGGAGCACCAGCACCAGAATGAGCAGTTACAACAGCATCAACAACAACAACAACAACAACAACAAAAGAATTAAGCTGTATCATCACATCTCAGGGGAGGCAGGGTCTGGTTATGTGGTAAACTGGCACAAAGAAACCTACAAGTTGATTAAACGACCTTGCGTTATGTGAAACATTCAGCAGCTCACTGATTTGTTTTTCCTCCCCATCCCACTTAAAGCCATAAACCAGGATCACTGGAGGAGGCAGTGAGGGACAGAAATAAGAAGAATTTAAGGGAAGGAATTTTTGCCATATGAATTCAGTGATGAATCACCTGTCAATTTTTGTAAAAAGAGAAGAGAATGGATGATGATGAGAAGGAAGAAGGCACGTGAATAGGACGTGAGGAATCCTGGTGAAAATTGTACCAATTGGAAGATGCAGTATGGGCTCTCAAAATAGGGATAGCTGTCCTCTGAAGATGCCGGCCACAGAGACTGGTGAAGAACAACCTTCAGAACATGGCCAAAGAGCCCGAAAAACCCACAACAACCAATAGCTATCTCCTTTCTTCCCAACTGTCAATCTGCTAACACAGGATGCAATACCATGACATGAAATGAACTATTCTTACTTGTGTATTTCCAAGAATACTTGCATCTGCCTAAATTTCTCTCTCTCTGCATGAAAGAGAGAGTTATAGGGAGAGATGTATATAGAAAATAAAAACAGACTTTAAAGGAATTTCTGGGGCTAGGGGTTGAGGCTTGTGCCTCTGATAGGAAAGCTATATTTGAACGTCAGGTTTGGCTTCATAAAATTAGACTCACTTCAGGAGAGACAAAGAGGAATACGATACCTTATTTAAATTTTCAAAAGCCTTTTACCACGGCTAATAAAAATGCAGCTTTGACTGGTATTTGGGTAGCACCACAGAATTTTGGTGACAACTGAGATTAATATATGAGGATATAAGTAGCAATGCGCAAATCCAAGCTTTTGATTTGCCACTTTTTGTAATGGCAGTACTTATACAATCAGAATTTAAAACCCAGGATTCTCAGGCACATCAGGCTCGGTTGGACTTGCTTGTCTTTTTTTCTTGTTTGGACAATGTACTTGAAACACGGTTCAAAATCTAAGTCAATCCTTTGACCAGCCATCCTTGCCTTCAAATTGTTGAGCAGCATTTCTCAAGAATGAAAGAAGCAATAAAAGAGCCACTGAATAATTGGATTCTTTTCACAACTGAACACTTCAGGTTTACAAAGGCATAGAAGTCTCCCACTGCAGTGCTCTTAGGCAGCTCAGGGATCTCCTAAAATGATATAAGAGGTGCAGTTTTCCCTCCACCCAAGTCTGGCTAAACAATTTTCTGTGCTTGTGCCTAGACCATGAGATCCAAAGAGACCAGGCAATAGAGCAGCAATTTACATCAACAAAGGGGATTTTGATGCACTCCTCTGAATGAGGTGGCATTACCATGTTAATAGCTTTTTCACTCTCAGACTAGGAGGCTGGAAACTTTTGTAAATGGAGAACAGTTCCGCTTTCCATTTTAACTGTAACAATAGCAGAGGAGCTCTTTAAATTGCATCAAATAGCAGTCAGTGAAATCCCTAACTAACCATCCACTCCTGCAGTTTTTTATTAACCACCAGGCCAAAGGAACAAAAGAGGGAGAACAACTTGGACTTTCAGTTGTATCCCCAACTCCTAATCCCCTAGGGATAGCAAGAGGAATTGCCTGCAGAGCTGCTGAAGGAAACTGCTTCATTATGGAAGGCGCTTTCTCTCTCTCTCTCTTTCTCTCTCTCTCTCTGTGCGTGGGTGCGTGTTTCATGCTTTCCGTGTGTGTGTGTGTGGGGGGGTTCTGCTTGCCCTCTACAATACAAGAGATTCCAGGTACATTTTCTAATATGAATTTGTTTACAGCCTCCTGGTTAACAGGGTCACAATGAGATTTCCCCTCCCTCTCCCCCTCCCAGTCCCATTTTTCAGACAGCTGTTGTTCTTCACTGGTTCCCACACTCATCCACTTGTTCCCTTGTCACATACTCTGAATGTGCACTCCTCCTGACACTGACTGCCTCACACAATAAAGAATGAATGGAAATGTTGCCTCTACAGTCAGACTATGGAACAGGGCCCATTCATTAGCACTCAAATGTTCTGCCACCAGCGTAGATACCATCCTTTACCTGACAGCACTCAGTTACCTTCCCTTCAGAAAAACATTCTCTCTTTTATGTAGTTTAGCTGTCTCAAGAGACACAAACATGGCCCTCTTTAGATGTTGCACTTCTTCAGCTCAGCTCAAAACAGATTTGGGGCCTGGGTACGCTGCTTCCCCATCCCATTCTGCTCATTGTGTCATCACCAACATTTATCACTAGTTAATGCAATATAAAATAGTCTTTCTTCAGTTAACAATAGAACACAACCCAGAGTATACCATATTGAATTATCTAGGTACCGATAAACACAAATCTTCATGGCCAGTCTCCAGTAGAAAATAATCACAGCACTGATTATCAGCTTGTCTACTTCACCCACACTCTATTGGCCAGCAGACGGAGATCACTTTTATATGAATAAAAGCTCTGCTTGGACATGCAATGGTTCCCATTGGGGAGGGAAATCACACAAACAGATACTGTATAGACATTCTTCCTAGAGGTATTGCTTCTTACTTGTGCTAAAAGGGGCAGGGACATGAGCAGCTCCTGACTGTACCACACTGACAGGCTGGAGTGCAGCAATATCCAGAAATGTCTGGTTAACCATCTTGTTACATCTCCATAGACCTTTGCTAGGTTTCTAAATCCAAATAAGGTAAAATAAAATTTTGAAATACAGAATAAAACGATATTTGTAGAAACAGTGAGCCTACATAAAGTACATCTCATAAAATAAATGAAGAAACAGTATGTTGCATAGACTTCTTATAGCAATGTTATTCCAGAATTCTGAAGAATTGCAGTAATACAGTTTTGCACTGGTTGGTTTTGTTACATGGCAATGATTCAAAATATAGTTCACGGAAGGTTACACAATGACTTTTCTTCTGAATGTCTGAATCATCTCACTCCCAAGAAACAGCAAGGCAGAGCTATGGAAATTTTTTTTCCTGCAGGCTCCCTTCTCCCATCAACATGTGCTACTCCACTGAGCCTGTACACTTATTCACCAATCATTGTAAGATCAGCTTGTTCAGCATGCCTGATACAGCAACATAGAGCATTTAGGATCTTTCAGCATTGGTGGTCCCTGAACAGTTATGATCCAGACTTTTTCAGTGACCGTAGTCACCAAATTTTCAAGAGTAGTCATATCACGAAGTGTTCAAAATCCATTAACATAACAAGCTCAAGAATGTCATCTACCTATCCAGTACAGCAGATGATTAGATCATCCCATAAGCACTAGATAAGTTTATGACTAGCAGGCCTTTGGAGATGATTATAGTCACACAGGGAAGATAAAGTATAACGACTTGTTCAAAATGTTGTATCAATGAGGGGATAAAATATTGTTTCTCTTTGCACAGCTGATGACAGAACATGAGATCTGCCTGGGCATACATTCATTCCTATTAGATAAAGATATTATTTCAAACAGAAGTATACCTGATATGGAAAATACACATGCGGGAAGTAATTTAAGACTTCAGGTGTTAACATCTATCATCAGAGTATATTGATTCAAGATAGTTTGAAACACTTTGTTTGTTTGTTTGTTTTTAATAGACCTGAAATGAAATCTTACTGGTAAAACAAAATTGATTTTCACATCATGGTCTTACCTTGGAGAACCAGGCCAGATTTTTCAATTACATATAAGAAAGATGTGAATGGCGCAATGGGAGACTTGGCAACCAGGAGCTGCAGAAACAAAGACAAAAAGCAACAGTAATTCCTACAGTGAGCTAATTACAATACTAGTTTACAGAGCAAATCAACAATGGTAGCAACAAATATTTTAGTACACTTTTCCATAACAGATCTACAAAGACTTTACATTATCATCAAATTTATTTGCAAAAATGTGCTTTTCTTTTTAAAGTTCAAAACAGACATTCAAATTTTCCAAAGTTTCATATTGTTTCGACATGCCCTTCTTCTTCCTTGTGTATCTTCAAATCTGAAACTGCTATCTGTTCAAAGTCCAACCCTCTTCAGAATGTAAGGTACAACAAATTCCTCATTTGTTTTTCTGACAGCTTAATCTTCTGGAAGATAGAAGAAGCAACTAGAGGATCAGCTTTTGATAGATCTGATCCTCATCAGCCAGGATAAAGTGGTCAATAAGTTAGAAATAGTGGGACCATTGGATGGAAATGACCATGCCCTCTTGGGATTCATCTTACTGAGGAAAAGGAAAACTGAGGGTAGTACAAGATACGTTCTGCACGTTAAGAGAGCTGATTTCTGTAACCTCAAGGAAATACTGGATGAGTTGTGAGAAATACTCAAGGTAATGGAGTTCATGATGGAAGTTTCTTAAAGAAGTCAGGGTGACTGTAGAAAGAACTTTCAGAGTAGACGCACAGGAAATGGGCATACATAGGAAACAGAAGAGAGAATTACCAAGGAAATGTCTTGTTACAAACAGCTATGATGTCACCTGTCCTTCAAGGTTTAGGCTGGAGTGTTAACATCCAATGGTGGTCGGAAGGCGGGACATCAGGGGGAGGAGCTGGGATATATAGGGGTGTGAATGTGTGTGAGGGGAGATCAGGATCTGTGAGTGTTGAGATGAGATAGTGATCAGATTGTGTGGAGATATGAGTCTGTGTGAGCTAGAGCCTTTCTTTATGTGATTACCTGATTTATTTGTTATACCAATCTTAATGTACCAGTCAATAAACTTTAGTTATTTTGTCTGAAATCCATTCCAGCCTGAGGATACTTATTGCAGGGGATGGTTGGTGGCAGACTACTAGAAGAGTAACAGTGGAGTGACGTAGCGACCTTCCTTTGTGAGGTAGAAGGAGGCCGTTACA